TCTCTCTCTCTCTCTCTCTCTCTCTCTCTCTCTCTATATATATATATATATATATATGTATATATATATATATATATATATATATATATATATATATATATCATCATCATAGCCTTTTTCAAATTAATTGGGGTCCGCTACACGAATCCTGGTCCGTCATTCTGCTCTATTAAGATCATACCCTCAAAGAGGTAATAAGTCGCCATATCTTTTCGGACTACTTCCAACCACGTCGTTTTGGGCCTGCCCCTTGCCTTTTTCACTTTTTCTACTTGAACTAACTCGAACCTCCTAACATGTGTTGTACTTGGTCAGCGCCACACAGGGCCAGCCCACTAAAGTTTACTCTCTCATCTCATCACCTATTGGTGCCACACCTAATTTCTCTCGAATAGATTCATTTCAAATTATATCCTTTCTTGTCTTGCCACTCATCCATCTCAACATCATCATCTCCGCTACACTCATTCTATGGGCATATTATTTTTTGTCCGCCCAATTGTGATGGCTTCAATTGGTCTCACAATTGACCTATAAAACTTATCCTTCAACTTCATTGGTATGCGGTGATCACAGTAAATATATATATATTGCTGGCCAGCTATAATGAATAGTAATATAGGTGGAATGGAAGTCATCAGATCTTTCATCATGCGGTTCATAATGCATATCACTGTTTTAATTTTAATTATTTTTCTATAAATCGGATCATAATGAAATTTTAGACGTGGATACTAAAAAATAGGGTGCACAAATAAAAATATTTTCCAAAATATAAAATGATCGAAATACCCCTGAAAAATGACGGGGGCAGTTTGGTCATTTTAAATTATTGAAAATAATTTTTTTATATGGTGCGCAATAGTGTTAGGTATATACACCCAAAATTTCATATTAATCAGATTCATATAAATAAATTAAAATTAAAATAATGATGTGCATTCTGAACCGCATGATGAAGATCTGACGGCTCCCATTCCACCAATACAATATTCATTATAGCTGGCCAGTTGTTGTAAGGTTTACCCATATATATATATATATATGGGTTATGTTAAAGTGCTCACACTACGGAATAAATTATCATTGTGCTCAACAATTTTGGACACTTTTCTACTCTTGTTTTGTACATGGAGCATTTTTTTAACAAGAGTATTTTTTGTCATTAGGAGGGTATAACGTCATCAACATGGGGTGTAACATCACCCATATGGAACACACTAGTGGAATTTAATGCTTCATGTAGATGACATCACACCCCATGTGGATGATGTCACACCATCTTAACGAACAAAAATGCCCTTATTAAAAAAATGCTCTAAGTACAAAACAAGGATATAAAAGTGTCAAAAATTGTTAAGTATAATGATGAATTACTCCATAGTGTGAGCACCCTAACATAACCATATATATATATATATATATATACACACACATATAATACTTCCCCCTCTACTAAAATCCACATCAATATGGACCATCTCTTGAAATGCATTGATGTTTGGTTATGTTTCTAATTTGGATTGCGGCAGGGAACTACATTTTGGAAGGATGGATAGGTTATGGGAGATTGAAGCCAGATTCTATTCCTTGGACATCTTTGATATCAGCCCATTCTCGATGTTGCTCATAATGACCAAGATCCGTGCTTGTTTTGTTAAGATGAGGACTTCAGCAGAGCTGGTGAATGGGGAAATGGTTGCATCGGTTTAATCTGTTTGACTGACTGCATTGAACTAAGGGCAAGGAGATGTGGATTTCAGCACCTTATGTGTGTGACTAACTCCCTTGTTGATATGTATGGAACATGTAGTCCTCATGGACAATGCCAGGGCAATGTTCCAAGAGATGGGTGCAAAGGACTTCTTCATTTCTAATGCTATGATTTCTTGTTATGTTTATGCTTTGGCGGGTAATTGTATCAAGGCTTTTGAGCTTTTCTCTCGGTTGGAAATGGGAAAAAAGGTGGAATTGAGGCAAGGTAACTTCAGCTATTAACGGGTTTGCTTCCAAAGGGAATGGAGATGCCTTGAGCCTTTTAGACAAATGCAAGTGGCTCGCATTAAGCCAATTCAGTAATCTGGTAGACTAGGCTGCTTTCGATCATGGCAAGTAGATCCACAGTCATTTAGTTAAGGGCCTTCCACTCAAGCCTGCCTGTGGGTAACGGTTTAATTCACTTGTACACACGGTGTGGGAGCCCAGATTGATGTGGGTTTCACAGAGGAGAGAGAGAGAGAGATTCCAGAAATTAAATGAGAGAAAGTTTGATGTGGGTTTCGCAAAGACAGATTCCAAAAATGAGAGAAAGAGATTCCAGAAATATGAAATAGTGAGAGAGAGAGAGAGAGCTAAGTTGGACGTAAGGGTTCAAGAGAGCTCAGATATAAATATGTGAGAGAGAGAGAGAGAGAGAGAGTTGGCAGGCAGAGAAGAGTTACGAAAGAGAGGCTCACCAGCTGGCTGGCCGAGAAGAAATACCTTCAGGACTTGGTCGAATGGGTTGGTTAACATGTCAAAAGAAAACAGAAAAAAGGACCTATGCAGGTTAAAGGGAATTATTTAGGGAATTTAAAAAAATAAAATAGATCTTTTACATATAAATTTTGTATACATAAAACACGAGATAGCTCGTGCATTACATGGTGATCGAGTATTGTCTCACATGTTTTTCGCTATCACACGACTGAAAGATGAAACAAATAAGGATAAGGTTTCTATAAGGCCTAGACTTCATGAAAATAAAATAAAGCCTCACCTCAAATCCTTGTTTGGAAAGCACTTTCAACAACAGAAATCTTTGTGATGGCTCTAAAATCAATTTCCAATGCCGACAATAACATTTGAAACTGAAAAAATGGTATAGATCTTGCGAATCTGTGAACACTTATTTTTAGGGCGAAATGAATAGTCTAGATAATGTTCTACAATATATACTATTTTTAGAGCTTGAAATCCTAATCATTTTCACAACCATTATGTCCAAGTCGAGATGATCGATGTGAAGGTTTTCTAATGCTGGAATTGCAATGAGGATCGGATTTGGGTACAGGTGGATCCGATCCGAATCTGACCCAATTTTTAAAATAATATATATTATTTGTATATAACATATATATGCACATATGTTATATATTTAATAATTTATATATATAATTTTTTAAGCTTTTAAAAGACCTAATCGCCACCGTAAGTTTATTGGAAGATGAACGGTGGGGATTGGATCCTCGCTTCTATGTAAAACCCTCTCTCTCATCCTCTTCTTTGCCTCACTGTGGCTCCTCATAGCCGTCATGGCCTCCAACTCCTTGACCT